CATGCTGGGCTTCATACCCCCACCCCTACTTCTGCCAGTTCACCTCACCCCTGGCAATGACTTGCCCTAGGAGTTCCCCAGGGAAGCAGGCTGATTTGTCTGGCCAGGCGGTGGTTGGGAAAGAAAGAAACCAGAGCTATTGGGGTGGCTGGCCTAGCTTGTCTGACTCCGTCCCTGCCATTTGGCATGGTGAGCTTCCTTATGCAGCTGTGCTCTGCCTCATCTCTCTCATGTCCCACAAACCATCTGTCCTGAGAGAGCTCAACAAAGTGGGTCTCCCTCTGGTCAAGAAGCAGATAGCTTTCCTGGCCTGGGTGGATGCTAGCAGGGAAGGAAAAAGAGGAATGTTAGAATGAGGCTGTATGCTAAAAGTTTGTATATTTTTCCGAAAGTGTTTTCTCTAGCAAGAAGGTGACTTTCACGGGGGAAGAGGAAGAGGAATCTAAGTTAACGATTACAGTATTTAATTGATTATAAGATGTCTGTTATTTATATACCACTGAAAAAGAAAAAAGTTGCTCATTAAACTGTCATGCCACTGATTTTAAGATGCATTCCAATTTTAGTGATGTTAAAATGTGAAAAAATGTGTCTTAGAGTCCATGAAAAAAACTGAGGTATCACCTGTCCTACACACGAGCACCCACTCACATACACACCACAGGGCAACCACACAGGGCACATTGAGGCAGAGTGGGTATGAGCACAGTCAAAAGCCCACTATCTTCTGTGCTCTGAGAACAAGCATAGCAACCAGACTCTCTGGAAATAGGAGCCCCTTGCACTCAACAGAACTTTGTGAAGCCCTCTCAAACCCATTGATCTCACTGGATTCCTCATAGATGTCCTGTGAGGCAAGCAAGACAAGGGTATTCATTACTGTTTTACAAATGGAGTTCAGAAAAGGTATGACTTTGCCAAGGGCACTCGGGACCTGAAAGGGAAGAAGTGGGACAGTAGGCGCTGCCTGCTCAGTCCTGCTAAATGCTGGTTTGACTACTACAGGACAACCGCTATTATTTAGGAAAGGGATAGAGATAACTACTGACGTTGTAAATAAGTATCTTCTAGCTCATTTCCCCAACAACATTATTTATAAAACCTCAATATACAAGACAGAATGTAAGTGGAGTTGTTCTTGGCAAAGCAAGGGGAAAGGCCAGAACACCACCCACTCTACTCCCACACATTCCCCGCCGCCTGAAGTGGCTTCGGAGGCACCGCCCCAGCATCCCTGAGATGCTGAGGAACAATCTGGAAACCTCTGGAGCAAGGGAGCTTCAACTGTATTGGTAACATTCTTTTTCTTAAGCTGAATTTAGGTATTATTCTTGATACCTTTCGGTATATCTTAAATACTTCGTTTTTTAAAAAGGCACTGCTATAGATGGTCAGGTCAAAGAGATGACTCAGAACCTGCCTGGAAACTTGAAAGCAAAAGAAGTTTGCTTTGAATTATGAGCCTGGGTGAGGTCTGCACACTCAGATTTTGAAAGCTCTCCAGGTGATTAATGTGCAACAAAATCGACAACCCACTGTACTAGAGTTACCTTGTTAGCTCTGACATGCTAAAAGCTGAGTGCATGTCTTGGAATGCACAGGATGGTTCCTCTATTCTCAGAGGGCAGAATACTAGAGAGCCCAAGGTCTTTCTAAAAATGCAATACCCACAGCCTCCTGAGTATAGAAAAGGGACAGCAATGGCAGGTTGGCATCACTTAGGCAAGCCCCTTGGATGGAGAGGGGAAGTGTGAAAGGGAGCAGAGGGGCCTGCTGGCTGGAACAGTGGTGGGCTGAGAATAGGTTGTTGGACAGGAGAACAGCTCTGTGATTCATGCTTGGCCCTGTTTCCTAGCAGAGATGTGTCAAGGAAGCCTCCACCCCCATTGCAAAGACCTGCCTCAGTGTGAAATGCAGAGACTATTGGCTGGCTGAGATGTAGGAGTTACTGAAAGTTATGAAGTCAGCTGTGGAGGGCATCCATTAGCCACAGGAGAAGCCTCTCCCTACTGCCTCCCTGGCTTTTAAACCCCTTTGCCCAGCAGCCCAGACATCCCAGGTGTGCAATTCAGATGCTGGGCAGGGTGTTGATTGTAGGGAGGGTAGGTTCAGGCAGTAACAGAGTAATTGACTTTTGACTACGTTGGACTTGCCTATTGCCAAGGTTAGCAAACCACACATCCTTTGAATAAACCATTGCATTTTGTCAGGCTGACATCTGTGTATTTCTGTTCCTCCACTGGCTTTGGCAAACCAGGACAAGAGAAAAGCTCATTGGGCGACCAGGTTGTAACCATCTCAAGCTGCTTCCTACCCCTCACGGGGGTAGATGACACATTCCATAAGCTGGTGGGGCTTTTGCCATGCAAACTAACTCTGTGTGCCCTCAGGGAAGGAAGGGGTAACCCTGGTGGTGATGAATTGCTATCAAGGATATGGAAAAGCAGCTGGACATCTTGCCCAGAGGTCCAGGGAAGAGTCATGTGGAAGAGTTGCTGTTGGTCTCAGTGCTTTTCCCTCACAATACTGCCTGTTCATCCAGGACACCAACTATATAGAGCCCTGCAGAGAAGCAAGATGGGGCCCCTCAGCAAGAAGCTTGAGATGCCTGGGCAAACAAAGGCATCCCAGCCCTATCCAGGAGAATTCATTGGATGGGCATGGCTTATGTAGCCTAGGGTTCTCCTTCAGAGAACACTGGTGCATCCTAACATATTTTAGCACTCAGGTATAAGATCCTCGTTCAATAAAAGGAACAGGTCCTGTGCCAGGGGCTGGAGGATGAATCAGACCCCACCTGGCCCTCAAGGAGCTTAATGTCTACAGAGGGAGAGAGACCAGTAATGAATCAAGTAAGAGGGAGGCAAATGGTGGCCAGAGTTAATACCAGGTGCTGTAGGAGCCAAGTGGACGGGCACCTAACATAGCCTGGGCTCAGGGAAGACTGCAGAGAGGAGCTAAACTTTGGGTGGAGGCCTTTGGACAAAAAGGGGGAGTGGGGAGCCGAGAAAACAGCACAAAGAAAACAAATGGCAAGAATCTGGGAAATGGCCTGGCATGCCAAAGGGGAGCATATCCCGCTGGAGCAAAGGGCCTCTGTACATGCTTCTTTTGGAAATGCAGGGCTGAGGAGATGCATCTGAAGATGCTTACAGAGCCCAGGGTTGGTGTGTTACCAGGAAAGAGCGAGGGGCCCAGGGAAGTGATGCAGAGATGCATTTGAAAAGACTGATGCCTGCAGGAGGGAATACACAGTAGAGCGGCGATGGGGACGGGGATGGTAGTAGGAGCAGATACACTGCCCCGGGTAGAGATGGCAATGGCCTAGGCCATTGGCTTTTTTAGCTCTCTTCCTCAAAAGGAACACATGGGGAAAGGACACGAACCAACTCACATCACCTTCTCTCCGCCAGTCTCTTTCCGTCCTTTCCCTTGGCCGTATCTGGCCCCCTTTCTTCTGTGCCTTTCAACTCTGCTTTGAGGCTACTGCTGGCAAGCCTTGATTCCTCTGTTTTCTGCACTTCTGGACCTCCCCTTTCTTTCTCATCTTCCACGCCACTGCTGGCTTTCCTTCCACCTCTATAAGAACTGGGGGTCCCTAGGCAAGGGGCCTACCCAGCAATGCCAGCACACTGGAAAGGTAAAGGAAACTGGTTGGGGGTAGAGAGCATGTGAACTCTGAGGTCTAACAAAACTAGTTTCCAATTTCAGCTCGTCCATTTATTCGTGAGCCTTCATATTCTCAGTTTCTCCCTGCCAAACAATGACAGCATTGCCAGTCAGATAACTGTAGTTTTATGGGGATTCTAAGAGGTAACAAGGACTGGGTGCAGTGGCTTACACCTGTAATCCCAGCACTTTGGGAGGCTGAGGCGGGTGGATCACCTGAGGTCAACAGTTCGAGAGCAGCCTGACCAACATGGAGAAATCCCGTCCCTACTAAAAATACAAAATTTGCCAGGTGTTGTGGCGCATGCCTGTAATCCCACCTACTCGGGAAGCTGAGACAAGAGAATGGCTTGAACCTGGGACACGGCGGTTGCCGTGAGCCAAGATCGTGCCATTGCACTCCAGCCTGGGCAATGAGGAAAACTTTGTCTCAAAAAAATAAATAAATAAATAAGAGGTAACGAGAGGGATTTAGCTCCGTGTCTGGCATGCAGTTGGAGCTACGACTTTGCTGATAAAGAACCTGAGGCAGCAAGAGAAGTGACTTTTCTAGGCTGCTAATCTTCTAGTTCACGATTGCAAGGCCCTGCCTCATTCACAGCCTGGGTGCCCAACCACTGGCAAATGAGGAAATGCACCTGCACTGGCGGCCAGGTCTGTCTAGCTGTGTCCCCTCTAGGAACAGCAGTCCTGGTGAAAGCCTGAATAGGGCCTCTGTCCTGTATAAAAAGGGACAATCACAGTTATCATGGGCTGCTCAGCAGGTAGCCTTGGAAAAGCAGGTCTGTTTCCAAAGGGTAGGCTATCTTGTTCATGGTCTGACCCATGCCGGCTGCATGCCTGTGCTGAGAAGTGCTGGTGCAGAGCTGACCCTCAGGAAATTTGGGTTGAGTGGACCTCAATGTGTTTGCCTTCTCCAGCTCAGTCATCCAGCCTCGCCCAGTATGCTTTGGGTCCCAGAGAGCCCAGCAAATGGGCCTGGCAGACAAGCCTTGCTAAGAGTAAATAGTCTGATGGGTCGCTGGCAGAAGTAGGCAATGCGTGGGACTTCAAGGCCAACCAACCACACAGCTACCAGGACAAAGCTTTGCTGAGAGAGCCCAGCTGTCCTTTGAGGGTCTTCCACAGTATGGAGGGCCAGTGGTCCCTTTTGTCTACTTTTCGAAGCAGAGGGCCTTCTGAGAGGGTTCTGGGAAGCAAGGCCAGGACTCCTGGGTCTCATAAATCTTCTAATTATCCGTAAATGAAGAAAACATTAGAGCAGTAAGTCCCATGGTGAGGGTTCCTTTTCATTCAAGGATCTCCAACAACATAAACACTTGAGTCTAAAATGCAGAATGCTAAATAAACAAATTAATGACCATTTATTTCCAAAGGCAACTGCAGAAACCATTTCAGTACAATCAAAAGATTTTACAAAACAGAGAACGCACATTACAAAATGCCCCAAGAGGTGAGCAAACTGGTGGGTCACAGAGCACGCAAGAACCAGCCTTACCCTGCTGCTGAGGGAGAGTACAAACACTGGTTCTAAAGAGAGCCACTGTGTGGGGTTTCAGGGGAGACAGTGAGGGGTCTGCCCAGTGCATAGCAATACCAACTGGAAATGGAGGAAGGATGGGGTAGGGGAAGAAGGGCAGAGGCATTTGCTAGGCTCCTGGCAGAACCCATTACAGATCAGCCTATCATATTCTCTTCACTACAGTAACACCAATATAAATGAAGGATTCTTTAAAACAAAACACAAAATTGACACCAAAAGAAAGCAAGAGTTTTCAAAACAACAGCTTTTTTTGAAATGACTTTTGTTTTGTTTTGTTTTTCATGGGGTTTGTCTGTTTCGTGCCATGAGTAGCAAACCAGTGTAAATGTCACAGACAAGAGCAACGAGCGACTAGGTTTTCCTGAGCGCAAATCAGCTCACTCTATATACATAAGAAGAGGGCTGTCTCCCTGTCACTGACTCTACCCAGCACAGAGCAGGCAGGATGGGCAGTGGGGTGAACCCCTTCCCAGCCTGGGGCCTTGCTGAGGAGCCCACGAGGGCCTGCAGGAAACCCTCCATAATCAGCATCAGTGTCTTCTCTGAGAGCATCGCACATGGTCCTTTTTTCCTCCTCCCCTTCAGTAGAAACCAGTAAGAAAATTGTTTTCAGGAGGGGATAGATGACTCTGAGTCAACATCTACAAATCCAGGGAAGTATTTTTGGCAGAGGGAGTGGGGAAAAAGGGCCCTTCTGCTGCCCCCTGAGACACCTAGCTCATCTGCAGGGCAGTGCCCTGTGCAACAACCAGTGCACAGAGACATGCTGACAACTGCACTCTGTGGGGAGCTGTGCCCACTTCATAGACACTGAATTACCAATGATCACAAATATAAAAACCCCAACATAGGCTACAGCAAAAGGGATGATCTGACAGCTAGACTGAGGTACTGTACAGTAAAGTTTGCCGATTGCCCCGGTTAGCCCAGCGACCGTGCAAGTAGCTTCTACGAATGCGATGAAGTTCGAGGAGAGAATGAGAGAGAGAGAGAGAGAGAGAGATTGCTGATTTGGGGAGACTGAGTCTGTGGCTTCAGAACCCCGCATGCCCTCACAGGCTGACAGAGGAATATGTTACTGTTGTGCCTCTGGGAGGAAGGTGGGTCAACTCATCTTTGGTGAACAAAACCAAATACTGAGGGCTGGGAGGACCCAAAGTAGGCGTGACTGGGTCTCTGCTATTCGGAGTGGATGCCACAAGTTGGCCAGCTCCAGACTGTACTCCTTGGCCCGCATCCCTGGTCAAGGCTACCTGGGGGCTGGAGGGAGCACTCTTTTCCCTTTCTGAGGCCATTTGAAAGGGAACTGCCCTCTTCTACAAACACCCTCATACATGTGCAGAGCTCCCACACGCTGGAAAATGGCACATGGAAATCTGGCTGGGGAACCAGCTTGGCACTAACAGCAAAGCCCTGAGGAGGAGCTGAGAAGACAGGCCCACTGGCCACTGGGTGTGCAAGTTCCAGCTTCTCCCTCACTCTTGTACCAAAGCTGGAGCAGCAGAGGGTTGGCATTGGGCAGATATGGGGGCTACCCTGTAAGGCAGGTTGCCAGGGGTCTGGTTGGGTTCCTTCTCTCCACGTTGGCTTGGCCCAAGAAAAGAGTGAGATTCAGACCAGTTCAGATGCCTGCTGCTCCCCAATGCCCCAAATACAGGCCATGGCTCCCTTTGAAGCCTATTGACTGGGCCACGTCTGTTCTTTCAACTACATGTTTCTGAGCCAATCTGGTCCCCAAAGCCCTGCATGTCCCCTTCACTTCTTCCTTCCCCTGACAGGTGGAACTGTCTCTGGCTTGACCATGCCAGGCATGTGGCCTTTGCTTTCTTCTCTCCTTTCAAGCACCAGAAAGTGCCCTTCAGAATGGGGCGCTGAGCTGTAGCCAGAGCAAATGTAAGCTTGTGGAGGCATGCCAACATGGGGAAAGCTCAAGCGACTGGGCAACCTGTGCTATGCCACCGAAACGGGGAGGAGGAGAGGGCCTGCACAGTCACACTGCCTGACATTCCAAAGCTAGTCCTCAGCTCAGGCACAGATCCTCTGCTGGCAGCAACTCCAAGTTCTGGTGGAGGACAGGCCAGGCCCCAGGGGCTCCTCCCACAACCCCCTTCCAACTTCTCCTTTTGTAAAGAGGCCATGGGGCACTGAGGCCTTATATGTTTCCTCATCTGCCATTCCTACATGTAGCAGTTTGATAATGGGCAGGGCCAATCCAGCCATTTCAAGAGGTACCTCTCCTAAAGGGCAACCCTACGGTGAGAGGCACTTAGAAAAGCTTGGCCCTGCCCTCAAAGAGGGCCAAAAACAAAGCTTACACATCAAAAGGAGCTCAGGGTAGTAAGAGCACTTGGTGTTCTTCCCTCCTGCTCTCCAAGCCCTGGGGACTGATAGCCTCAATGCCCGCAGGCCTCTGCAGAAGGACGGTCCCTCCCAGGGTTGCTTCCTGTAGGTCTGTTTACTACAGTTACAACCACTGAAGCACTGAAGCTCAGTGTAGGTCTACCACAGTCAAACTGGAAATACTTGAACTGGCCTAGGTCAACTGTGTTGCCTAGAGTAGGAGAGGGGAAGGGAAGCTCATCAGACAAAGTCACCAAATGAATCTTTTCAGTTCTTAGGCAAATCTGTTCCTAGTGGAAGTCAGCGCAGAGTCAGCAATGTCCAACCACTGCCTGCCTTCTTGAGGTCTGTGCATAACTGAGCTAAAGTCCTTCAACAAAAGCTCCTCTTTGTGGAGCACCTAAACCTCCACCCATGAGAACCTAATTACTTGGCAGCCCCCTTTCAACCTAGACATGGGATTTGGGGGTAGAAAGGACGAAGAGGATGTGATGTCCCTCATATTAAACAATTCAACACTGAGTCTGACTACGCTGAAGAAATCTGGCCCTAGGGAAACACTGGCAACAGCTATAGCTCCTCAGACCCAGGATGCTGGCGTTCCCTGTAAAGCCAAGAAATGGATCTACACCGTCTTCCAGAAGTGGGCCCTGATGCAAGGATTCTTCAAACTCAAAAAAACAACCAACCAGCCAATTCTAGCTCATTCTTCCCTGAAGCTGCCTGGGGGCAGGGAGGGGCGGAAGGGAGGGAGCCAGGCAGGGAGAGAACACATTAAAGGGGCACTCAAGATTAAAAGCGTATCTATTATCAACATTAACCTAAAATGGAGTATATGATTCAAATCACAGTTTTCTATGCTCGCTTCTGATTGGGATGTGCATCAGTTCTCAGCTCTCACAGGCAGAATTTACACAGGGTGCTGCCTAGTACTGTATATATCTTGACCCTCTTCATTTTGGATTTGTCGTCCAACTCTCTCAATGGAATCTCTTGGGCTGCGTGGTGCCCTCCCCTCCCATCCCAGGTAGCATACTGGTGGCTGGTTGGCTGATTGCTTTGAATCATGGGACACCAATGAGAAGAATCTGGCTGGTTCTGTCTTGACCATGAGCTGGGAAATCCCTCTGCTCTGGGCTTCCCGCTGGTATAGAAACAAGGCCTCAGTCCCCTATGGTAAGGGCTGTGCTGGAGACAAAATGGGATACCAGCATAAGCCTGGAGATCCCTGGCAGTGGAGAAATGAAATGCAACCCAATCTCATTGCTTTGATGCCAAAAAAAACTACTACTTGTTGTTCCCTTTCCTCCTCAACCAGCTGTTGTTAAAGCACCGACAAGCAGAGTGAAAGAGCCACTGACTGCGATCTCCCCATGTAAGGCCACTAGGAGCAGAGAGAAAGAGCCAAAGGGAAGGAGGAAAATCCAATGCCCAGCACTACATGCCAGGCTCAAGGAGACATCCTAGGGAGAAGAGCTGAGGAAGGAGGAGTGGTAGAAGAAAGGTACAGAAAGGAGGAAAAGAAATACACCACACATCCTACTGCCCTCTCCCATGATTTCATCAAGAACTGGGTGTTCTCCAAGTCAAGTTGGGACTTGCTTCCTCAGGGAGAAAAAAAAAAAAACAACAAGCACCTTCAGTCTATTTTCTTGGCTGGAAGCCGGAGCAAATCCAGCAGATATTTACACAAGGGCCCAGCCATGTATGAGAACAGGATGACCAGCTTCCCGTGGGTCATGGTCATGAGAGTCTGGTGTCCCGAGGCCCAGATGCGATACCAGGGGCCGTAGAATGGGTCTGAGATGGCCGGACACAGCATGTTGTTCAAATTCACTTCGGTGACCTGCAGGGACAAGGGAGGTAGAGTAAGCGTTCACCGTCCTTAGGCTTTCTCTGGCTTCTGCCAGTTCAGCCATCTCTACCTAATGGGGGACTAGACAAGGAGGGATTGACCAATCCCCACCTGTTTATAAAGGGATTTCTTCTCTCCCCTTGGTTTTCTGAGTGAGTCAAGGCTAGAGCCCTCTGGAGGTGATGGGGAAGGGCTCTCCCGTGGAAAACCTATTCAGTTTCGCTTGCGGTCTTGCCTTCTGTTTGGGCCCAGAGCCTGTTGCCATTCCTGAACATCTACTATGTGCCTAGTCCCCAGGGAGGTGTTATAGGCTAAAAGTACAGCCCACAGCGTGGTCCCTGCCTCCATGTAATTGGCAATCAATTAAGTGTGGATGGTCAAAGGTTTACTACATCTGACCTCAAACCAGACAGGGTTCACCCAATTTTATACTCCATGAGGAGGTCTGAGGAGCATACAATATGGGGGCTGAGTCCTCAGAGAAGATTTCATGACAGAAGTGGTAACTGCACGGACTCATGAAAGATGGATAGGGGGTTATGGTGAGGAATGGGGTGAGGGGAGCCCTCCTTATAGGAGGTATAGCCTAAGCATGGTATGTAGGGTGACATGAGCATACTGATGCCTCTGGAATCAGGGATCCCAGTGGAGAGCAGCGAGCGGTAAGGGTGTGAACATCGTATGGCTTCCTCCTGAGAGCACAGGAAGCATCACATTTTGGCAAGGAGCTCAGACTAATCCCCCAGCAAGCCAGAGTAGCGCCATATACCAGAATGAGGAAGAGAAAGTGACTGCTTCTACAAAGGTGTTGGGGGCATCGGTCACATGCCCTAGTCATGCTAGGTCACGCGAGGCTCCACATCGCTAATGCTCCGTTATTGCCGCTGACACACAAAACCAGACATGCCACACCTGTCTCGAGGACAGTTGTGGCAGCTGCCTTCCAAGCCCTTCAAGCCCGTTCGCATTAAAACATGTCCTCACCACCTCTCAGGGAAGTTGGGGCTTTTATACCATGTCACAGAGGTGGAGAACTCTCTGCCCTCAAGGGTGAGGTGACTCATTTAGAGCAGTGGCAGAACCAGGACTTGAACTTGGGTGTCCTGACCCCCAGCCCCAGCCCTGAGCTCTTCCTATTCATTTTGCCAGTGATATACACTCTTGCATTCAGCAATTTTGGGCTCTGGATAACTCAGCTGCTGAGTCCAACCATTCTTCATGCTCCAGGAAGTTCTAAGCAACCCAGAATGCCATAGGATTTCCCCAACACCACGCTTCTACTGGATCTGAAACTCAGAGAAGAGCCCAGGCTTCAAGGCCTATGAATGGGCCCAGGATGGACCCAAGGTCAGAAGACTCCCCTAGTCTCAGGGCCAGGGTTAGGGTCCTGCCTCCCCATGGGTTCCACAGCAAACCACTTTCCAGCTACAGCTCACTGTTTCTGACCCAAGTGGCCATGAGTGAAAGGCATCCTGGCCTCCGCAGGGATGAAAGAAACAGTCATTACTAAAAGACTCAGAAAACTCTTTGGAGAGGCCAAGGATATGATTCATAAATCAGCAACCCAGACACAACAATGTGACATCCTGGCCTTTAGCATCTTGTATTTTCAAAACAAAGTGATACACCAGCGCCAACCAGGATTATCAAGATTTATGAAGAACTGCAAACAGAGGGGATAGAAGGGGATATAATCAAACTTACCAGGCCGAGGATCTGCAAGACGCTGAAGTGATAAAAGAACATGAGGCCAGTTGAGAGAAGAGCCCACCGGAAACTGCTGAGGGGCTCTGGAGTGTAAGCACCTGGAGGAAGAAGGGAGATGGTGAAATGGCAGGAATAGTGATTCACTTCTGCTTTGCACCATGAGGGTGCAGGTAGTGAGGTCACAGCTGCTGCCTGATGACTGTTCCTTCTACCGATCAGTGGCAACTACTCAAGAGACAGCCTTACTGATTAGCTGGGTACTCAAACCAGCCCCTTCCTGCCCTCTGTTTCTGGGGTCATTACAAATGGAGGACTTTTTTTAATCATAAAAGTGGTATGTATTCATTAAAGAAAAATTTCACATGAGTTTGTCTTTTTGGTAATTTTCTCTATGCATCAGGATTTTTTCTTTCTTTTTGAAGTTAATATTTGCAATCTTACTGTACATATAACAGTATATATATATATAATATACTGTTATATATAACATGTATAGCCTTCATTCCCACATTTATTTCCTCATGCTTCTAAAGAGAAATGTCATTGAGGAAGTATGGTATAGTGGTTGAGAATGTCAACTTTGACGTTAGATTTGAGTTCAAATCTTGACTCTACCGCTTATGTGCTATGTGAAAAGTTGTTTAAAATCCTTATATCTCAATTTACTTGCCTATAAAATGGGGACAATAGTACTATCTACTTCTTAGTGGTGGAAGAATAAAAAAAACTACATTGAGAGCTCAGGGTCTGGTACAATGTAAGTGCTCAATGAGTGTTAGATGCTGGCATTATCATCTTTATTATTCAAATAACTGAAGAATCTGCCAACTTTCCCCCAGGGATATAAAAAATGATATATTTTCCCTCTATCATTGCTAAAAAGTACCATCCCAGTAGGCCTGAATGTATTCCAGAGCTTGGAGAACAGAGGCATGGTTTATAGGATGTTGTGGGTATCTCTCTGGGTTCGGACTTGGAGGGGGTGCTCAAGAATGAAAGGGACCTAGAACCCCCACGCAAGCAATTAGGGGTGACATCACATCCTAGACTATTATTTTCCCAAGTCAGTCTTTCACTGATTTATCCATTCATTCAACAGTTATGAGGCACCTTGTGTATTCCAAGTCCTGTTCAAAGCTTTGAGGATAGGAAGATAAGGCAGGCTCCCTGCAGTCGCAGACTCACAGTCACAACTACAACACAGTGCAGCTGGTGGGATGACTGAGCTCTGTGCCACCTGTTATGAGAAAACAAAACTCGGCCAGGGGGACAAAGAATGTTTCTTGGTAGAGCGAGCATTGGTGCAAAATCCAGAAGGACAAACAGGACTTAAGGAGGGGCCTAAGAATTCCAAAGTATAGGCCTGCATGGAGGCAGACAAGAGCAGAGCAATTCAGAGAACTATGGATAAGAGTTCCATGGGGCCACAGGGGAGAGGGTGATGGGGCAGTAGCAGGTACTAGACTCAAAGGTTGGCAGGGCTGGTTTGCTCCAGGCTGGAACACATAGGACACTAGAAGCCATGCTGAAGGCTTTGGGCTTCATCCTATGCACCAGGATCATGAGCTCAAATGCCCTAACTTTCAGGTAGATAATCGGAAGCAGGAGTGTGACCAGGGCCTAAGAGACGCTAGGAGATGCTGGAGACTGTCAAACTGAAAAGCCCACACCCCTTCTAAAGAGGGCAACCACTACTTAGCTCCATCCAATCACTGCGCTGAAAGGATGTGGACCCAGAGTTACCAGTTGTTTTTTTTTTTTCACTTTTGCAAGAGAAGCTAATATACATGACTTTTTATGTGAAATTTCCTGATTTTCCAATGTTGGCAACTAATTCAAAATGTTTTAAGAACACTCAATGGACCACAGAAAACATGTCTTCTGTATGGATTTTAGTCCACAGGTGGCCAGCTTTGAGCTCTGCTGTGGAGTCACAGAAAGCGGTGGAACTTTTGAAGCAGGAAGGTGAGGTGATCACATGTGTGTTTGCAAAAGATTGCCCTGGCTGGTGTACAGGGGATGGACCAAAGCAGACAGAGTCGAGGAAAGAAGACCAGTAAGAAGACTGCTGCAGGGGCCCAAAAAGAGAAGAGGATGAATGGTTTTGGAAGGCAGCAGCAGCAAGCTTGGGGGAGAGGGGGGTAAAAATCACCACGATGTAGATGAAAATTGGAGAAGACTGTTAGGGAGATGGCAGTTGGTAAGGGAGAGGAAGAATCCTGGAAGACTCCCAGGGTTCTGGGTTGGCTATCACTGGGTTGATGGTGCCATTTATTGCAATGGAGAAGAGAGGAAAAGGCAGATTTGAACAGAAGAAAGACAATGAGGCCAAGTTTAGACATGAAATTGACGTCTGTGGCAGCTGCCTATACTCTAGGATATAGTGTGATGGATGAAAGCATGGGCAGTGAAGCTCAACAGGTAGAAGTTTGCAAATCCAGGCCCCATCACTTAACAACTTTGGGGTCTTATGAAAGTCTCAGCATCTCTTGAACTCAATTCTACTCACCTATAAAATGGGGTGGCACTGCCCAATTCATAATATTGTTGGAGAGATGAGATAATATACCATAATTACAATATTGTATCTGGGATTTTTAAAATGCTGATTATTTTCATTATTATATGAGTCACAAACTCAGTGAAGAGGATGGTGGCGAGCATGTCGATGTAGGTGTCATCAGCACACAGTAGTAACTGAAGTCATGGAAACATATGTATTAAGAGAGAAGGAAAAGGCCAGAGACAGAATGCCAAGGAAAATCATGTAAGGAGAGCATGTGGAGGGGAGATGACAAAGGAGGCTTTCTTCAGCGATGAAAGTGGGGACCAGGGGTAGGGGCTCTTCTGTGGGAGAAGCTCAGGTTTGCTCTAGGCTCATGGCACATCTGAGTCTGAAGGACCTTTGCAAACATTGATATCATTCCCTCCATTTTATAGATGGAGAAATTCCAGCCTGGAATATGGGCAATGTCACAGCCAAAGACAACAGGGAAGCACTGAAAAAATGAACTCTCACACACTGCCAGGGGACTCACTAGAGAGTTCAATGCTCCTGTTGCCACTTGTGAAAACCTCCAGCACACCACGTTGGACTGTCTCTTCCTTTGTCTGTCCAACCCACTAGACCAAGTGCATCTCAGGGTCAAGGACCATGTCAGGCCGCTTCTGCATTCCTAGCGTCTAGCACGGTACTTGGTATATGAAAATGCACTGAGCTGTCTATGCCTTTAGGGCATGCACACATTCCTGTCTGCCCAGTGAGTGTGGACTGGGCACTGTGTTGTCACCCTGGCTGCGGCCAGCATACACAGAAAGAGAGGACCTGAAAGACCGACAGGTGCTTAGGCTGCTGCTCCTCCCACTGCTGGAGCCCCCAGTCTGTTGTCACGGGTGTCCCCTCCCTCCATCGTTTCTGCTCGGCACCCCTAGTGACAACTGTGCAGCAGGGACATGCCCTGTGAGCCAGGTGGCAGTGTCGGGAAAGGAAGTGAGTGTGTGTGTACATGGAGGGGGCGTCCTCGGCCAGGAGGCAGCTCTGCAGCCAGCCCTGGGGAAAGCCGGAACAAGGCTTCAACCAGGGAAGCCCTCCAGTCTTCCTGCTCCTCCCCTGCCTTGCCCTGTGCTGCAGAGGGAAAGGAACACTCACAGATACTACCAGGGGACACGGTCAGTGCTCCCACTGCCCCTTGCCCAAACCCCCACTTTAGTAGCATTCATTCTGTGTAGCATCATCTATCCCATACCAGACTTAGTTCTCTGAGAGAGGGGCTGTTTCTGAATTACCTCTTGACATCCAGCACCTGGTACACAGTGGGGACTCCAAAAATAATCACTGCTTGGGTGAATGACTGGTATAGACTTTCTGGAGAACCATAAAATCATAACCCTTTGGCTCAAAATTACTACTTTGGGGACCACCATCAAATATCTAAAAATTCCAACAAACCACCCTTATTTGCACAAAGATATTTACACCTGCACTATCTTTAATATTGAGAAACTGGAAACAAACCCACTGGGGAGATAGTTACATAAACACAATGTTGGTACCTCAATATTGTACAACAGAGTCCACTACCATTCAAATGACAGCCAGACAAACTATGTATCTGTCTATGGCTAGTACTGTCAAGGAGAAAACTCAAAACATCAAGCAATACACAAATGATAGAAAACACAGCTTAGTAGTTTAAAACAAAGACCTTGGGGCCAGAGAGCCAGTCTTGGGTTTGAATCACGGCTCTGCCACCACCCATAGGAGTGACCTTGGGCAAACTATGCTGCCCCTCTAAGTCTGTTTCCTGTTGGTGGACTGAGAGTGACATCTACTTCTAAGGGCTGGTATGTAGAATAAGAAATATAAAAGTATATACGGCAGCTATCCTGGCATGCAGATGGCTGCTGCTGTTTTTTATCATGGTGACCACAACAATCTAAAATCTTATAAAAGACTGGAAGAGGATGTGGGAATCTTCTAAAGAGGTGATCTTGTCTATGAAGGATGACTTCCACTATGGCACTGCCTTTCACCGTTGTTGATTCTTTTCATTGAAAAGTTGATCAAGTATTCAATTTCTTTGAAAAAATAAAGAAAAAAAGAAAGTACTCTGAGAATAGATGATCCAGTCTACACAGATATATGCAAATTATATGCAAACACACATCATTCTCTTTTCTATATAACAGCATGGGGCCTGTGGGAAAATCCCAGTGAAAAACCAGTTTTCTTCTAAAGGAAAATAGAAACTAAAGCACTTTCAAAAAAATTAAACATATAAAACCTTTTTCTACTTTAAGAAAATCTGTAGCATTTTTTGCTAGCATCTTATATCTCAGGAAGAGAGAAGCATGTCAGCTGTAAAGGTAGGGGGAAACCTAGATAATAGCTTTTTCTAAAATCGATTTCTGCCAGAAGCAAGTTTTATGAGTCCTGGGAAAGAAGTCAATTGCACCACCAGCCATCAAGACTGATCCTCATAGGCCTCCCAGGGACCCCTTTTTTTATCCTATAATCCCACCCATGAAGGACTTATACCAAGGAGATGAGACTGGGCAGGGTGGCATCCCATTCTTCAATCTTATTCCTGCTTCCTTC